AAGTGCTGGGATTACAGGTGTGAGCCACCGCGCCCGGCACTGGAAACAAACTTTTTAACCTCCAGAGGGAACCAAGTTAAAAATGACACTTTCGTCAATCGTTCATTAAATTCAGTTTGGCTTCCTTCTGCTTTGGCCATAATCACAGTTTCTGGGTATTCAAAATTGAAGTCTGATGGGGCTAAAGAAAAAAATGTGGTTGATTCTACAGCAAAAGCCACTGCCTTGAGTTTCACTAAGACTAAAAACCTTACAACTGAGATAATTTTCCAAAAAAGGACGTAAGTCATGTTATTAAAGATGCCCTGTCCCAAGCACCCATGAGTCGGTGTTACCAGAATCTATGAAAACATCAGGACGACTCATTGGGCAACTAATGAACTTACACGTTTACAACAGTATTGGGGGAGAAACATTTCAAGGGCGGCCAAAGAGGCACAACTGCCTTGTGCTGTTTGCCCAAAATTCAACCCAGCGAAGACACTTCAGACAGTCCCAGGCCGTTCTGACCTGCCCAGCAGGCCCTCTGAGGTCTGGCGAATGGACTTCATCCAGCCACTGCCTCCCGAGACTATAAATACATCGTGATGTTTTGCATGCTCTCCTCCTGGGTGGAAGCGTTCCCTTCCTGATGTGCCACTGCCTCAGACGCCGCACACTCTACTAGAACAGATTCTCCCTACGTGACGGGCACATCTTCACAGGCAAGGAACTCCACTGGCCAGGTCGTAAAACCAGTCTGTGAAGTCTGGTCCACATTACAGGGCTGTCATTGTGCCTACCATCCCAGTCCTGCAGACGGGCAGAAAGCACAGGTGGCATCACCAAGATTCAATTGGCAAAATTTCAGGAAGCACTAAAATTGCCCTGGCCAAAGGCACTTCCTGTGGTCCTTCCGAATCTAAGGTCCGCACCTTTCGGAAACTGCAAGTTGTCACCTTTTGAAATGATCACGGCAGGGTCAATGCGCAGAGTCCCTTCTGCTCTGAACAGTCCGTGTATTAAAGGAGACATGCTTCAATAGTGTAAAGGAATAATGAAGGCGGTTCACACAAGTCATACCCTGGTCAGTCTTTACACGGTGTGTTCCCAGGAGATAAAGGCACCAGACAGCACGACCTTCAGCCTGATCTTTTTCTCTACTGGAAAAGACATTTACAGAAAGATTTCCTTCAACCTCAGTGAAGAGTCCGCGTCAGGTACTCCTTACCAATCCCTGTGTTGTCAAACTAAAAGGTGTCGGCCCTTGGATTCAGGTTTCTCATTTAAAGAAACCTCTGCCCCCTGCTGGAATTCAGACAATCCCCTGAAATGAAAACTGACCCGAAGGTGAAGCAGGTGACACTAGAGCTTGGTTGAGGTCACGTCCGCAATGAGGGACATGACTCCCTGGGACAAGTGCCTCCCGGCAACAAGGGACAACATCACATTCACCAACTGATCTGTGACTTTCTGGAGGAAGAACTCGATCAAAAGGGGGAAATGTGAAAGAAAACGAAGTCACCAATGCGAAGGCTTTCTAAGTGGAAGGGAGGCCGCGGGAGGCCTGCATTCACACGCCGACGGCCAGGCCACAGGATGCCCGTAGACTTGGACCAGCAGCTGAAGTCAGCCCCTGACGGCCTTCACATCTCCCAGCTGGGAGGGCCCTGAAGCACTAACCCACCAGAAAGGGCTTCATTTAGGATTTCTCCCCAGCCAATGAACTGCCTCCAAAAACCCTTTGTGGAAATCCCCTATGCACAACTCTCCAGGCTGGGAGAGGCGGCTCTTCCTGTAATCTGGGAGGCCGAGGTGGGCGGATCACCTGAGGTCACGCCAGGAAAGGCGGCTCACACCTGTAATCCGGGAGGCTGAGGTGGGCGGATCACCTGAGGTCACGCCGGGAGAGGTGGCTCATACCTGTAATCCCAGCACTTTGGGAGGCTGAGGTGGGCGGATCACCTGAGGTCAGAAGTTTGAGACCCAGCCTGGCCAACACGGTGAAACCTCATCTCTACTAAAAATACAAAAATTAGTCAGGGGTGGTGGTGGCAAGCACCTGTAGTCCCAGCTACTCAGGAGGCTGAGGCAGGAGAATCACCTGAACCCAGGAGGTGGAGGTTGCAGTGAGCTGAGATCGCGCCACTGCACTCCAGCCTGGGCAACAGAGTCAGACTCCGTCTCAAACAAAGAGAAAAACCAAAACTCTCCAGTGTTTGCCTTCCAGGACACTACTCAGGGTCACCCTGACTCAGTTTACCCAAATCACAATCCTTTGTTTCCCAAATAAATGCTTTAGTTAATAGTATTAAAAGTGAACAATGAAAAAGCAGATTCAAAACCTATTCAAATGGTTCTAACTCAATGTGTTAGTATAGTCACAGCTGCTTACTGAAAACGAACATTTAAACTTGGTCTACTCCAGGAAGATGTGCGGAAAAAGGGTGAAGGGTGAGCCACTGGGCCCAGCCCACCGCAGGACGGCCCCCTGTGCTTGTGTGTGCCCCAACTCACAGTGACAACACCCTGGCCAGGCCTCTGCATGTTGGCTTGGTGTCATCTGCCTTGCACTGGAGTGAAACAGGGTCAGGCTGCCACCATCCACACAAATTTTAAAAATGAAACCTTTATCAAGGGAGTATCTTTGGACTGTTTTAAAAGTCTTTGGAACCATGACTTGGAGCTGGCAGAAGAGGCCGTGGCTGTGGACTTCGGCACAACCAACAGTGCTGAAAACACTATGATTTACATCCGTTCCAAGCTGCAAGTCCATCTTTTCTCCCTGCAACAAAAAGACCATTAGCTTAAAAAAGGGAGAGGGTTCCATCATCCTTGCAGCAGCTAAGACAACCCCTTAGGGTCCGCCTGGGCTCTCAGACCCAGTACCTCCTTCCAGGGATGTGCCCACACCCGGGTCCTTTTGTTAAATTACATCTGGCCTAAAGCTGGCCATTCTTTGAATTCCTACCTAGTGAACTGCAACCTAACGAAGCATGTAAACAAACTCAACCTAGTAAGTCTATTCTTGTAACAAGTAGCTGAGTCTGTCATAAGCTGCCAGTGGGTCAGACCACACCCACATGACGCAGAGGCCCAGCCGTAGCCAATCAGGCTGTTTCCGTGCCTCACTTTCGTGTTCTATCTTTAAGTGCTGCCTGCCCATGCTGCTGGGTAGAGCTCGCTGAGCCTCTCCTGGTTCTGAGTGCAATTCATGAACTGTTCTTTGTTCAAATAAACTCTAAAGTTTTTCTTTTTTTCAGACAGAGTCTCACTCTGTCACCCCAGGCTGGAGTGCAGTGGCATAATCACAGCTCATGGCAACTTCCGCCTCCCAGGTTTAAGTGATTCTCCTGCCTCAGCCTCCCACGTAGCTGGGATTACAGACATGCACCACCATGCCCGCGAAGCTAATTTTTATTTTTATTTTTTTTAGTAGAGATGGGATTTTACCATGTTGGCTGGGCTGGTCTCAAACTCCTGACCTAAAGCAATCCAACCGCCTTGACCTCCCAAAGTGCTGGGATTACAGGCGTGAGCCACTGCGTCCAGCCTCAAGTTTTCAACACTCTTGACCATTGTGTCTCACCAGGACCAAGCAAGAGCCTCCTCACCAGCCTCCGGCTTCCAGGCTATTCTCTACACAGTCACATCACACCCTGCTCTGCTCAGGCCCCACAGAGGCCCTCCTACCCACACATCCTCCCGATGCATCACTGGCCCAGTTGCTCCATCTGGGACACCAGCATCTCTCTGCCTTGGCCGTACGTGCCCTGGGGCCTCTGTACTCATTGTTCTGGCCACTGCCTCTTACAGCCCCACTAGCCTTCCTGGGCCCCTCCCAACCTCCCACCTCCTCCGGGCTGTGTTCTCCAGAGTTCTACAGCATTTACCAGCACCTGGCACACGATCTTCTCACTGGCTGGTCTCTTCCCATCACAGTTAAACTCATAAAGGCCATACTGCCATCTCCTATGTGCCTAAAAACCTGGCAGTTTTCAAACTTTTACAACTGTGGAATTCTTTCCCCAAAGAGGCCTCCCAGCAGTCTAATGAACAGAGGGCTGGTTGCTGTTGAGGATGACGAGGGCTTACAGGGCCCCTTGAGCAGACCCAGGAAACACTGGGGGCCCCAGGGGCTCTGGCAGAAGTGGTGTCCTGATGCAGATGCCACAGCGCTCACAGGCCAGCAGGAGCGGCCCCTACCCTGTTCCACACCTGGTCACCATGTGCTTTCTGGGAGATGTGAAAGGGTTCTTCCACCTTCCGCTGGGTAGCAGGAAATGAGTCTAATGAGTCTACGCTCCACAGCTAACTACCATAAAGCAGTTTATTCTTCTTAAAAAGGAAGGTACATGGTCACAGTCCAAAATGTTTTATACAGCTCTCAACCTGGAAAATGCAATTGATGAAAAAGGCACTGTTTCTAGAACAAATGGGAAAAGAATAAATATGTCACCATTTACCTTGCACAGCTTTGAGTAACACCGTAGGACCCTGTCACACGTTCAGGGTCAATTTTAAAAGCTTGAGAAGGAGAAGACACAGCAAGGTGATGTCCTAGACTAGCCAGGCTCCGAAGGGAAGAGCTGTCTGTCCCTCCTCACTAACCCTCCTCTCTTTGTCACACAAGTGTCCATGTCACTGTTCCTCTAGCAGATGTGGAAAGTGGGTGCTCAGTGAGGACTCAGCCCCCACCAGCCTGAGGGTCACACGACACCATGGTGGGAAGTCACAAAGGGTAACGGGCCAAGAGGGAGAGGGGGGCTCCCTGACCTTGAGGACCCCTGAGGCACTGCTGCACCTTCCACAGATTCTGCGTCCAGCGTTGCCCTCTTTGCAGATGCCCCTCATGGTGGTGGCACAAAGATCTAAAAATGATTTCTGTAAAATGGGTACCAGGAGCTCCCTGATAAAGTAGCTCATCTTAGATAGCCTTTTGGAGTTGGTGTGACTGTCCTTCCTCATTTCTAGCTCTCAATAGTGAATGGTGGACCCAGAGGCCCCACGTGCACCTGCCAGGGTGAGGATGGGGCAGGCAGGGCGAGGGCGGGGCAGCCAGCTGGGCCTGGTGTGAGGAGCGGAGTTGCAAGTTTCCTACAGACAATCCACCGAGTGTCCCAGAGACGCCACTGAAAAACTTCCCAGCACTCTGATGTGCTGACGGTAGGGCCTGAACTGTCATCCCTCCACGGGGCTCCCTGAGGCCTCAGGCCCTCCCTTTGCAGTGCCAGGTCTGCCTTGCACATCCCAGGAGGAGACAAACAGACAGCCTCCTGCTGCATGAAGGCGACAGAGGGATTCATGGGGCTCCGGTCACTCTGCAGACATTTAACATGACTCTTCTCCTCGCACCAGCTCCCAGGGAAATGTCAGCCCGTGTCCACCTGACGGAGGGCAGCTCACCCGCCTGCATCCATCCTCAATGCGATTAAAATATGAAGACATGAAAGGTGGCTGGTAAGGCCAGAGCTGGAGCCTGACAAACACTCCTGCTTATGAGTCACCACGCGGGCCCTGCTGGCAACCGAGCTGGGGGTTCACAGACACTGCCTGAAAACACAACTGCCCCCGAGAGCAGCAGAGCCTCTTCGTCAGCCATGGCGGCTGGAAACGCCAAGGACAGAGCACAACTCTAGACGCGCTGCACCTCTAGAGGCGTGGGGCCTCTTCTGGGCTTAGGACCCCGCGAGGGACAGTCCTGTCCACCGAGCTCCTGGCTGGCAGCAGACGGTGACTCCGCGGCGACAGAGCCTGCGTCCACCCACGTCAGTTGGGTCTGGGAGCGGCCCCGGAGAAGCCTTCTCAGTAGGTGATCTTCCAGTGCGTGGGCTGCTCACATGCCTTCTCTTGGTCTCCGCAGAACCTGTTGTAAGTCGTCTTGGGGTCCAACCCCAGAATTTCTCTTTCCTCATGAATCCGAAAAGAAAATGTTGAGACTGAGGTGCCGATAAAAAACCTGCAAAGGACCACAGAGGTTCCAGAGTTAGGAAGAACTGAGATCACAGAGGTTCCAGAGTTAGGGAGAACTGAGATCACAGAGGTTCCAGAGTTAGGGAGAACTGAGAGGAGCAGGTGAGTGAAATGAGTTCCAGAGTTACATGGAACCGACACAGCCGCCCCCCTGCTGGCACCCCTCGCTCAGGTGCCCTTGACATCTGCGCCCTGAGGGGCTCTGCCTGATGCTGCAGCCCCATCCCCACCCCACAGTCAGCAGCCACCACACTCCTGTCCCACCACATGCCCCCCTCAGGAGCTCTCCTCTCCATCACCAAATCCCAGACCAGGCACGCCGGTGCAGGTCGAACACCTCCTGGACCAGGCACACCGGTGCAGGTCGAATACCTCCTGGACCAGGCACGCCGGTGCAGGTCGAATACCTCCTGGGGGTCACATGGTGAACAATGAGAGATTCCTACTAATCACAACACTGTCTAGCCAAGGCATGGGGGGTCCTTATCCTGAGGCACAAGAGAAATCACGGAGGTCAAGGACCCCTCCACACACACGCCGTATGGGCTGGTGGGGACACCCTTCTCCAGGGGTTTCTTCACACCTTGGGTCAGCGGCCTGCCCATTCCTCTGGCTCCTGCACAGTCGGTTTCTGGCTCTCCAGCAGCACTTCATGAACTTCAAGAACAAGCAAACCCCAGAGATGTTTCCAGAGCAAACGTGACGTGCCCAGCGCTGTACACGGAACCACAGGGCCAGCAGGCCACACAGGCCTGTGTGCTGCTGGGTGGGGGCACTGGTGGGGAGACCCTCACCACTCCACACACAGGGGCCTGTCAGAGCAGGCCGCGCTGGCCTGGAGGCAGAGCAGCTTCAGTGAGCTGGGCCAAGTGCTTCGCGCAGCTGAGGGCAGGAGGCCGAGAGCTCAGTGTCAGGCCTCCCCACAGCAGGCTTCCTGGGCTGGGGAGACAGCACTGCCAAGCTCGCAGTCAAATCTCAAGGCCACACCTGAGAAGCAGGGGCAAGCTTGTGACTGGGCTCCCACACACCTCCGCCCTGACCTAAGAAGTCAGCGCTGCCTCCTGTCTGCTTAACAGGTAAAGGGATCCACGCCCCACAGACAGCATCACCCGGAGCCTCCGTGGGTCTTACGCACAATGCCCAGACCACCACAGGAAACAGCAGATGTGTGAAGAGGCACCAGCTCAGGGTGCTCAGCATTCCTCGGGCAGGAGGGAGACAGACTAACCCACAGAGACCTACACACGTGCACAGTGCTAACCACGGGAAGACCATTCCCTCTACTTTCCTTTTTTATTGAACTCAAACTGTTTCACCCTAACCCTAACCTTGGTCTTCTATGCAGACGGGCAGATAGGTCTTTGGAGGAACAGAGGCCCAGCCCTACCTCCTACAGCAGCCCCATGAGAATGACGGCATGCAGGGCCCAGACTCCCAGCCTCGGGGACACTCATGGCAACCCCACAAGAAAGATCGCATGCAGGACCCAGACTCCCGGCCTCGGGGACACTCACGACAACCCCACGAGAACGACCACACAAGGGCCCAGGCTCCCGGCCTTGGCGATGCTCATGATGCTCTTCAGCAACACACACAGCACCAACGACGCGCCCAACTCGAGGGCATGGGCAACTCTTAGGGCAGGGGGCAGATGGGGCAGAAACTGGGAATGACAGGAAAATGAGACACAAGAAGAGGTTCTGAGATGAGGCCAGCTATGCCAACAGCCTGCTATGGAGGAAGTCTGTGTGTGAGAATTAAAAGGGCAAGATAAACAATTAACTTCAGCCCAGGGAAACACTGAACCAGATGCTATAGGAGACTCAGACGAGGAGGTAAACAGTGTGGAAATGACCACTGTGAACACAGGTGACCATCTGCTCTGACACCGAGTACCTGGAACAAAGAACCTTTTGAAAGCCACCCGACCCGCTCTCGGCCGACAGTGAAGTGGGCAGGCTACACAGGCAACCATCTTCTCTGACACCGAGTACCTGGGACGGAAGAACCTTTGAAAGTCACCCGGCCCACTCTCAGCCGATGGTGAAGGGGGCAGGCACCTGGCATGTGAGCAGATCCACTGGTCAATAATCGCAACGCCTCCGTCCTTGTAGAGCTCCAGCTCCTCCCACGTGGGTTCAAACCTCACCATCTCGGGTAACAGCTTTTTTAGCTCTTCATATTCTGCGAAGTAGAAGGAGAGACCCTTTGAACCGGATCCTCTGGTAGGAACAGATATGTATCTCTTTAGCAGAAAGACATGCATACTTGGCTTCTGGTTAATTCGTTAGGAACTGGCTCAAAAGATGCAGACACACAATTCAGCTTTACCCTCCCAGGAATTAGTTGAAGATCATGCAGGCCTAGGTCTACCCAGAATGGAACCAGGGATCAAGACGAAAAGAAAGAAACGAAAGGCACGGAAGCTCCATACCCTTTCTGACGGCATCTGTGGCCACAAACACCTTGTCCAGCCGGTGGATCTTCATGAGGCTGCGGATCTTCCTCACGGCCCCTTCCAGGCTGGGCACATCCTCTCTGTGACCCCAGATAAAATCTTTTCTTCTCAGATGGACTCCCAGGTAGGGGCCCCCTAGCGCCGAGCCCAGCTTGACCTAGCAAAGAACCACAAGGAAATGCGGAAAGTGACAGGTGGGCTCGGGGCTCATCCTGGGCACCGGGTGGAACTCGAGACGCAGAGGGACGACCATTTCCATGTGGCCTCCTCCATGGGGTGGCCTCCAGGGCTGTCTAAGGGATTCCGGTGGAATCTCGGGGGCGACTTCACTAAGAAGACAGTGAAGCGGTATTAATGACCACCGATCATTTTATCCGAGTTAAAGAAAAGTATTTAAAACGAGAACAGCATGTGGAGGCTCACGCTGCAAACTTCTGCTCCGAGAACCACCGCAGGGACAGCTGCCAACTCCCCAAGAGCCAGAATGCTCTGCTGCCCTCTTGACAGCACCACCTCCTGGCTGGAGGCCACCAATGCAAATGGTTACGGCAAATTCTAACAGAACCCTGCTCTAAGGAAGGAGAAAGCAACAGCTAATTCCACCACCTGCAACATCCTAGCTGACCACAGGTCCGGAGTCTGTCCACATGACAACTTCACTGCAGCATAACCAGCATTTGAGAAAGCCAGTGCACTCAGCAAAACTACAACCAAGGACCCCGCCAGAGTCCACCTCACTCCCCTGCCACCTCCATAGAGTAGGTGCTGGTACCCACGGCTGGGAGACCTGAAGACGGATCACATCACAGGACTCTGCAGACATTCCCCAGCACCATCCCAGGGCCTGGAAGCCCCACTGGGTGGCTAGACCCAGAAGAGCAATCTCAGTCACTGCAGCCCAGCTCTCAGGAAGCCCCATCCCTAGGGGAAGGGAAGAGCACCACAGAGCACCCCGTGGGACGAAAGAATCTGAACAGCAGCCCGTGAGTTCCAGATCTTTCCAATGAAACAGTCTGCCCAAATGAGGAGGCAGAAAACCAATTGTGATAATATGACAAAACAAGGTTCTCTAGCACCCCCAAAAGATCACAGTAGCTCCCCAGCAACGGATCCAAACCAAGAAGAAATCTCTGAATTGCCAGATAAAGAATTCTGAAGGTTGATTATTAAGCTACTCAAGGACATACCAGACAAAGGTGAAAACCAACTTTTCACTTTCTTTGTTGGCTTTCTGTCTTGATGACCTGTCTAGTGCTGAAAAAGGTGAAAGGCGAAAAAAATACAGAATGTGGATGAAAAATGCTCCAGATAAATAAGTATCATAAAGAAAAATCAATTCCAACCTCTGGAAATGAAAGACACGCTTAAAGAAACGAAATACACTGGAAAGTTTCAATAACAGACTAGAACAGGAGAAGAAAGAGCTTCAGAGCTTAAAGACAAGGTTTTCAAATCAGCCCAATTCAACAAACACAAAGAGAAAAGAATAGTAAAAAAAAAAAAAAAGAACAAAGCCTCCAAGATATTTGGGATTATGTTAAACAACCAAACCTAAGGATAATTGGTGTTCCTGAGGAAGAAGAGAAACCGAAAAGTTTGGAAAATGTATTTGAGGGAATAATTGAGGAAAACTTCCTGGTCTTGCTAGAGATCTAGACATCCAAATACAGGAAGCTCAAAGAATACCTGGGCAATTCATCACAAAAAGATCATCGCCTCGGCACATAGTCATCAGGTTATCTAAAGTCAAGACGAAGGAAAGAATCTTAAAAGCTGTGAGCCAAAAGCACCAGGTAACCTATAAAGGAAAACCTATCAGATTAACAGCAGATTTCTCAGCAGAAACCCTACAAGCTACAAGGGACTGGGGTCCTATCTTCAGCCTCCACAAACAAAATAATTATCCGCCAAGAATTTTGTATTCAGCAAAACTAAGCTTCATAAATGAAGGAGAGATCATCTTCTTCAGACAAACAAATGCTGAGAGAATTCACCACTACCAAGCCAGTACTACAAGAAATGCTAAAAGAAGTTCTAAATCTTGAAACAAAACTTCAAAATACACCAAACTAGAACCTCCTTAAAGCATGAATCTCACAAGGCCTATAAAACAACACAATTTAAAAAAAGAAAGAAAGAAAGAAAACGGGGTATTCAAGCAGCAACTAGCATGATGAATAGAATATAGTACCTCACACCTCAATACCAAAGTTGAATGTAAATGGCTTAAATGCTCCACTTAAAAGAAACAGAATGGCAGAATGGATAAAAATCCGCCTAAAAGCTGTGAGGCAAAAGTCTTCAAGAGACTCACCTAACACATAAGGACTCACATAAACTTAAGGTAAAGGGGTGGAAAAAGATATTCCATGCAAATAGACACCCAAAGTGAGCAGGGTAGCGGTTCTTACATCAGACAGAACAGACTTTAAAGCAACAACAGTTAAAAAAGATGGAGGGATATTATATAATGATAAAAGGATCCGTCTAACAGGAGAATGTTGCAATCCTAAATATACATGCAGCTAACACTGGAGCTACCAAACTTATAAAACAATTACTACTAGACCTAAAAAGTGAGATAGACAGCAACACAATAGAAGTAGGGGCTTCAATACTCCACTGACATCACTTGACAGGTCATCAAGACAGAAAGCCAACAAAGAAACAATGGACTCAAACTATATCCTGGAACAAGTGGACTAAGATATTTACAGAACATTCTACCCAACAGCTGCAGAATAGACTTCCTGTTCATCAGCACACGGAACATTATCCAAGACACTTCCTGTTCATCAGCACACGGAACGTTACCCGAGGCACTTCCTGTTCATCAGCACACGGAACGTTACCCGAGGCACTTTCTGTTCATCAGCATGTGGAGCGTTATCCAAGATAGACCGTATGACTGGCCACAAAACAAGCCTCAGTAAATTTAAGAAAATCAAAATTATGTCAAATACCCTCTCAGACCACAGTGGAATAAAACTGAAAATTAAATCCAAAAGGAACCCTCAAAACTCTACAAATACATGGAAATTAAATAATCTGCTCCTGGTCTTTGGGTCAAGAATGAAATTAAGATGGAAATTTAAAAATTATTTGAACTGAACAATAACAGTGACACAACTTATCAAAACCCCTGGGACACAGCGAAAGTGGTGCCAAGAGGAAAATTCACAGCATTAAACGCTTACATCAAAAAATCTGAAAGAGCACAAACAATCTAAGGTCATACCTCAAGGAACGAGAGAAAAAAGAACAAACCAGACCCAAATCCAGCAGAAGAAAAGAACTAAGATGAGAGCAGAACTAAATGAAATGGAAACGAACAAACAAAAAAATACAAAAGTTAAATGAAACAATAAGCTGGTTCTTTGAAAAGATAAACAACATTGATAGACCATTAGTGAGATTAATGAAGAGAGAAGATCCAAATAAGCTCAATTAGAAACAAAACGGGAGATATCACAGTCGATACCATAGAAACACAAATAATCATCCAAGGCTACTATGAACACTTTTATGCACACAAACTAGAAAACCAAGAGGATAAACTCCTGGAAATATACAACCCTTCTAGATGTAAACCAGGAAGAAATATAAACTCTGAACAGACCAATAACAAGTAGTGAGATTGAAACAGTAATTTAAAAATTGCCAGCAGAAAAAGTTCAGGACCCAGTGGATTCACAGCTGAAATCATTCAAAGAAGAATTGGTACCAATTCTACTGAAACTATTCCAAAAGACATCTTCCCTAAATCAACAGACTAATATCCCGGATGAACATAGATGCAAAAAGCCTCAAAAAAATACAAGCTAACTGAATCCAACAACATATCAAAAAGGTAACACCATGATCAAATGGATTTCATATCTGGGGTGCAGGGATGGTTTAACATATGCAAGTCAACAAATGTGACACACGACCTAAACAGCACTAAAAACAAAAATCATATGATCATTTTAATAGATGCAGAAGAAGCATTTGACAAATCCAGCATCACTTTATGATTAAAACCCTCAGCAAAGGTGGCATAGAAGGGACATACCTCAAGGTAATAAAAGTCATCTATGATGAATCCAAAGTCAACATTATACTGAAGAGGGAAAAGTTGAAAGCACTCCTCCTGAGAACTGGAGCAAGACAAGGATGCCCACTCTCACCAATTCTATTCAACATAGTACTGGAAGTCCTAGTCAGTGCAATCAGACAAGAGAAAGAAATAAAGGGCATCCAAATCAGTAAAGAGTAAGTCAAACTGTCACTGTTCACTGATGATATAATCGTATACCTAGGAAACCCTAAGGACTCATCCAAAAAACTCCCAGATTTGATAAATGAATTCCGTAAAGTTTCAGGATACAAAATCAATGTACACAAGTCAGCAACACTGCTGTACTCCAATAACAACCAAGCTGAGAATCAAACCAAGAACTCAACTCCTTTTACAACAGCTGCAAAAAGAAAAAAAAAAAAAGAATGAAACAAAACAAAAAAAAACAACCAAAAAAACCCACAAAACTTGATCTCTACAAGGAAAATTACAAAACACTGCTGAAAGAAATCATAGACAACACAAACTATTGGAAACACATCCCATGCTCATGGATGGGTAAAATCAATATTGTGAAAATGACCATACTACAAAAGCAATCTATCAATGCAATTCCCATCAAAATGCCATCATCATTCTTCACAGAACTAGAAAAAACAAAATCCTAAAATTCATATGGAACCAAAACGGAGCCTACATAGCCAAAGCAAGACTAAGCAAAAAGTACAAATCTGGAGGTACACATTACTCAACTTCAAACTATCCTACAAGACTACAGTTACCAAAACAGCATGGTACTGCTATAAAAATAGGTACCTCGACCAGTGGAGCAGAATAAAGAACCCAGAAATAAAGTGAAATACTTACAGATCTTCGACAAAGCAAACAAAAACACAAAGTGGGGAAAGAACATCCTATTCAAAAATGGTGCAGGATTAATTGGCAACCTACATGTAGAAGAATGAAACTGGATCCTCGTCTCTCATCTTATACAAAAATCAACTCAAAGTGGATCAAAGACTTAAATCTAAGACATGAAATCATAAAAATTCTAGAGGATAACATCCGGAAAACTCTTCTAGACATTGGCTTAGGCAAAGAGTTCCTGACCAAGAACCCAAAAGCAAAAGCAACAAAAACAAACATTAATAGTTAGGACATAATTAAACTAAAAGCTTCTGCACAGCAAAAGAAACAATCAGCAAATAGCCCCCAGAGTGGGAGAAAATACTCACAAACTTTGCATCCGACCAAGGACTAATATCCACAATCTACAAGGAACCGAAACAAATCAGCATAAAAAAAAAAACAAATAATCCCATCAAAATGTAGGCTAAGGACATGAATAGACAATTCTCAAAAGAAGACACACAAATGGCCAACAAACATACGAAAAAATGCTCAACATCACTAATGATCAGGGAAATGCAAACAAAAACCACAACAGGATACTACCTTACTCCTGCAAGAAGAGCCATAATCAAAAAACCAAAAAATGATGGATGTCGGCGTGGATGTGGTGAAGGGGAACACCGTGACACTGCTGATGGGAATGCAAACTAGTACAACCACTATGGAAAACAGTATGGAGATTCTTAAAGAACTAAAGGTAGATCTACCATTGATCCAGCAATCCCACTGCCGGGTATCTACCCAGAGGAAAAGAAGTCACTATATGAAAAAGACACTTGCACACGCATGTTTATAGCAGCACAATCCACAGCCGTGAAAACATGGAACCGGCCTGAATGCCCATTGGCCAGTGAGTGGATGAAGAAAATGTGGTATATCAGCCATAAAAAGGAAGGAAATGAATGCTTTGCAGCAAACTGGATGGAGCTGGAGACCATTATTCTAAATGAAGTAACTCAGGAACAGAAAACCAAATATCGCATGTTCTCACTCATAAGTGGGAACTAAGCTATGAGGATGCAAAGGCATGAGAATGACACAATGGACTTTGGGGACTCAAGGGGAAGAGTGGAGGGGGTGAGGGATAAAAGACTACACATTGGGTACAGTGTACACTGCTCGGGTGATGGGTGCACCAAAATCTCAGAAATTACCATTTTATCCATGTAACCAAACATCACCTGCTCCCCAAAAACAATTAAAGTTTAAAAAAAAAAAAAAAAGATAAAATAAGCCAGGCACAGTGGCTCATGTCTGTAATCCCAGCACTTTGGGAGGCCGAGGCAGGTGGATTACTTGAGGTCAGGAGTTTGAGACCAGCCTGGCCAACATGAGAAAATCCTGTCTGTACTCAAAATACAAAATACAAGAATTAGCCAGGTGTTGTGGTACACACCTGTAGTCCCAGTTACTCAGGAGAGTGAGACTCTGTCTCAAAACAAAACCAAAAACAAAAAAAGTTAATTAAATAAAATTTAAAAGAATAAAAAATAAAAAACACTGAAAAGAAATACAAGTGGGATAAAATGAAAAAATCTTCTGTATTTTTTCCCGAGTAAAAACTGTCCAAGTAACTTAATTATTGCTGGAACAATTAATGCTATTCCACGTGGAAACAGCTCAAATACCCCATAAAGAACAAACAAGTAAAATGGCACTTCTATGAAAGTTTTGTTTAAAAAACACAAAAAACAGACACTGAAAATGCTTAAAAACAAAATCAAGTTGAAAAAGCAATATGTTTGTTGTAATTACACCACAGAAAAACCCAAACTTTCAGAAAACACTTAAAAATATATACACAGAATAAAAAAAGGATGACTCTAGACCAAAATAGCACGGACGGTGCTTCTGGGCGAGTCTGGGTGAACGCTGCTTTTCTCTCTCTATCAATCAGGTCATGAGGGAGAAAGGCCGAACGTGCCTCTGACCACCTCGAGCTCCTGCTTCCGTGCTCCTGGCCTCGCCGTGCTCTGAGAACACCTTTGAGGCTGCTGGGCCTGCCAGGACTCCGTGTTACTAGAGGGAGAGCCAGGCGGAGTGACTCCCCGAGTCTGCACCGCGACGAGGGCCCCGGGGTCCTGGCGCCTCCCGAGAGCGGGTAATTACCGTGACACATTCCAGGGAGGCATCCACGCCGACAGACGCGCCAACCCTGCTGTGACTCTGAACTGAAGGCATGAGTTTTTGGGCATCTCAAGAGAGAATTTACCTTCTCTCCAATTAACAAAAGGGAGAGGGGCTACCTTCATCTTCGTCCAGTCCTCCTGGAAGGGGATCCTGTCCGCGTTGTCCGTGGAGTTGAGGTGTCTGCTCCTGAACTCGTCTCCCACCTCCCGCAGGTGCCTGGCAAACACCATGCTGCGACGGGTCTGTGGAAACGGCGACGGCTCGGCTGAGGACACGCCCGCCCGCCATGCCGCCCTTCCGGAGCGGGTTCTCCCATAGCTGCCGCCACCCACCCCTGCAGCTGGAACAAGACCCGCAGAGACATTCCTCATCGACAGTCGCCCGAGAAGCAGTGCCATCCACGGTGGAGGCTCTCGGAGGGTCTCCGGCATGAAGCCAATGCAGGGCAAGCCGTCCACCCCTGCCAGCTCTGCCAGGCTCCCCCGAGGGAAGCTGTGGCACACACGGGCTCAGCTGGCCGTTGCCCCTGGCTGGCACAACTGTGTGCAGCTCCTTCCCCTCAATGTCTCCCCAACTTGACTTCTAGCTTTTGCCAAATGGGGCGGGACTGACCTGCACAAAGCCCCATGTGAGCTTTACAAGCTGCTGCCCTGGTGAACATGTCAGCAGGCCTGCTGTGCCCACGGGAGGGGGCAGCCGCTTCCCGCCCTATACTCCCACTCACTCACAGAACCGGGATGGCTATGGAAAGTCACCCCATCAACACAGAAATCAACGCCAACGGGAAAGACCCACTGCAGAGAACAGTCCCACCTTTCAAAGCTAAAGAGAGGAGAAAGGAGGGTTCTACGTTCCAGCCACTGACGGAGTCACTGACTCGGGGCAGACTCCAGGGCACCGCCACTGCATTCAGGGCTGTGGCATCAGAGGGGAGAGCTGGGCGGCCCTGCAGGCTCCCGAGGACCTGGCTCTGCGGCCACGTGAGACTCGGGGGCGGCGTAGTCACTGCAGGTGCCCATATCCAGGGCTTCAATTATGATTTTAATCAGCAAGGTTCAAAAGAGCCATCAACTGTTTTAAATTTTCAAAAACTAAATAATAGGCAACATACACTAATTTAGAAAGATGCTCCCGAGGAAACACTCACATCCCAGTATTCTTTCCCTCCGTAGTGGTCATGAAGTAGGTTCTCGGCTCTGTCTAACATCACGGACCTATTTTTAAACAACATGACAATAGTTATAAGAGTTAAGGATGATGACAGTCACACTCTCAGAGCACAAACTGGGAGAACCCAGGGCCGGGGAAGCAGAGACCAAGTCTTCAAGGGACACCAACCAGGGCGCGTCGGGCGGTTATGGCTGAGACACAGGCAGGCTGCCGTCTGGCCTCCACACTACAGTTCTGAGAGGGCTTTAATGCCCACTGTCAACTCAGAGAATGACATCAGAGAAAAGTATCTCCTAATTTGAGGAGTGTATTTGGGAGTGGGCACAAGGCTTGGAATCCAGGCTCCACTGATGGCTATGGCAAGCTGCAGGTGTGCCTGAAGACGGGAGGCTGTGGGAAGCTTTTCTTTGGCAAAAAGGAGAGGTTCACATAAGCTGCTTGGAAACAAATTCACTGACTCGGGCTCAAAGCTGGAGCTGCATCTGTTCCGTGGTAGAGACGCCATTCCCGGGCAGGCATTCTTGCGACAGCGTCTCATCCGAGTTACTGCAGCCCTTGTCCATTGGCAAACCTGGTCCCAGGAATACGTGCACGTGTGAAGCGGTGACTGTGAAAGTGTGAGGTGTGTGAAATGTGTGAGGAACGTCCTGGGGTTATTTCAGAGAGCCCTCCAGCCAGCCTTTATCTCAGACTCGCAGGCAGGCACCTCCTCCTCAGCGCCTTCTTGCTCCAGTTTGGGTCTGACAAGTCATCCAGGTGCCTGTGACTGTCACGCTAAACGCTACCTAATTCCACGTGGGAAGTGCCTCTCCTTTTCCAGCCATTGAACCAACCGTCTCACCACACTTCCTAGGGCTCTTGATGCAAAATAAAAACGAAACGCACAAAACGGATCATGAGAAAAGAGACCCGAATACTGGGGTGGTAAAGGTTGGAATACAAAAACCTAGAAATTTTTAAGGAAAAGACTGATGAATTTGACTACATAAAAATTTTAATTTTGGTCTGGTGCAGTGGCTCACACCTGTAATCCCAGCATTTTGGGAGGCCGAGGTGGGCGGATCACGAGGTCAGGCAATCGAGACCAATCGTCCTCTTCTGGGTGGCATCCTAGTTTTATGCCCTCATGGTTCACACACACACTCTTCTACACAAACCTGGAAACAACCAAAGGCCACATTTTCTTCCATCTGTACACAGACAGCTGCAAAAGAGCGAGGTGACGTCCATGTGTCGTAATACCCAGGTGTGCGGCTGGGTGGGAAGAGAAGGGCAAACTGAAAACTGCGTGGACAGCGTGTGGTGATTCCACGTGTTTAAAAAGACGGCCGCATGCACAGACGGCGACATGAAGTGACTTCTGGAGAGATGGGTATAGCTGCATTCAGTGGGTGCCTCTCGCCCTGCTTCCAACGCCGTTTAAGGCTTTTTGTGAAATGCAATACCGCACTTCAAGACGCACATTCCACACGGGCGCGGGTAGAGGACATTCCGCACGGGCGCGGGTAGAGGGCATTCCGCACGGGCGCGGGTAGAGGACATTCCGCACGGGCGCGGGTAGGCAAACTGCTCCAAAACGAACACGGTGCAGCCCCTACCCGGTGGAGGAACAAAGCTCTTCACACACTTGCTCTGCCGTCCTCGGGGGCCTCCCCGGCATCCCCCATCTCTACCTCCGATGCACGGGACTGTCTTTGACCTTCATGCACATGGAACATGACCACATTTATCTTTTTCTTTTTTTTTTTAAACTGGGCATTGTATCTTGATTTCTCTTTGTTGAAAACGGCAGCAGTCTGCCCATCGTCAGTTGTGGATCTGCCACACACTATCCCGTGCATGGCTGAGGGGTGCACGGGTTCTCCTGGTCCAGGGAGGCCATGAACGTTCCTGGGCAGGGGTCTGTGGGTGCACGTCCCGCATTTGGGGTGCACCGGACTCCCAGGGTTTTACCAGATTCTCGCTCCAGGAGCAGCCTTCCAGCCCCTGTGGACCTGTCCTCCCGACGGCGGTTAGTTTCCCGAGCACGACAGCACTGGGGCACCTGCTCGCATTAACAGCAGCCGTTCTTACTCCTGAATCACATGGATCCCGTCTTGGACTCACCTCACCCCAGGCTGCCCGTCCCTCACTCACTGGGTTTCGTCTCCTGTATCCCGGAAAGTCCTTAGTTCATGAAATGTGCTGCAGGACCTTCCTCTCTGAGGCCTGTCTCCATTCTTCTAATGGACAAAAGTTCTTGATTTTAAAGTAACTGGCTTTACCAATCTTTCTTTTTTGGTGCGTGCTTTTCCCATCTTGTTGAAGAAAGCTTCCTGCCCCAAGGTGGTGAGGCTCCTCCCTTAATGGCTTTATAACTTCACCTTCCCATTAGGGCTTTAATCTCCATTAGAGACTTTCCCTGGGTGCTGGGGGCAGACGGCCTCGCCCCCACGATCAGCCTCCTTCCCCTGCGCCCCAGCAGAGGCGTTTCTCCTCTATCAGGACCATCTGGCTGGAAGCCCCCCTCTGGGCTCAGCTCCATCCTAACCTGCAAATGTGAATCGAAAAAACTGACTGGCAAGACTGTTCCACGGCCCCACACGTAGGCAGACTGGCTTCCGAAACCCGGATATTTTCATGAAATGAACCCAGTCCCAGGACATTAAAGCTGCATCTCAACCACTAAAACAATTCAGCCTAGTTCCCTCCACAACCTGAGTTCTGCTTTTCCGCAACAGCCGGGCTGGCCGAGCAGCAGACACGCGGGCCTGTGCTGGAGCCACCTGCCTTCCCAAAGGCCCAGAGCAGCTGAGACCACGTGGTCCCGGCCCACTGGGGCAAGCGGCAGCTGTTACTGACCAGAGTGATACCGAGCCAGCTGTGATGTCCAATAGCGTCGCGACTGCCATGGCCTCTAGAGGTGCACACAGGGTACGACAGCAGACAAGGCAGCCTCAACCTCAACGTGGGCAAGCGCGAGGGGCACCCATGCTCTGCTGTGCCCAGTCTGTGGGAGACTGTGGGCGATAAGCCACCCAGGTGCCGAGGCACGAGCTGTTCCAGTATAATAAAATGTGTAAAATAACAACAGTTATATTAGATATAGATAATAGATATGATTATGTATGAATATCATTAATCATTAGTTTGTAGTAATTACTCTTTATTCCAATGTTATAATAATCCTCGCTCTACAATTATAACTTAGGAAAAACCAGGCCATACAGAGATAGGAGATGAGGGGACATAGTGAGAAGTGACCAGAAGACAAGAATGTGAGCTTTCTGTTATGCCCAGGCAGGGCCACCGGAGGGCTCCTTGGTCTAGCGGTAACGCCAACATCTGGGAAGACGCCCGTTGCCAAGTGGACCATGGTCTAGCGGTAGCGTCAGTGCCAAGGAAAACACCCGCTACTCAGCAGACAGGGAAAAGGAATCTCCCTTTCCCTGGAGGAGTTCAGAGAAGACTCTACTCCGCCACCTCTTGTGGAGGGACTGACTGATGTCAGGCTCGCCCGCAGTTATCCGGAGGCCTGTCTCCCTGTGATGCTGTGCTTCAGCGGTCATGCTCCTCGTCCGCCTTCATGTTCCATCCTGTACACCTGGCTCTGCCTTTTAGGTAACAGTAGCAAAATTAGTGAAAGTACTAAAAGTCTCTGATATGCAGAAATAATGGCGTAAGCTGTCTCCTCTCTCTCCTCTCTCTCTCTGCCTCGGCTGCCAGGCAGGGAAGGGCCCCCTATCCAGTGGACACGTGACCCACGTGACTTTACCTATCAATGGAGATGGCTCACATTCCTTACCCTGCCCCTTTTGCCTTGTATCCAATAATTATGAGCGCAGCCTGGCATTTGGGGCCACTACTGGTCTCCGCGTCTTGGTGGTAGTGGTCCCCCGGGCCTAGCTGCTTTTCCTTTTATCTCTGTCTTGTGTCTTTATTCCTACAATCTCTCGTCTCCGCACACAGGGAGAAAAACCCACCAACCCTGTGGGCCTGGACCCTACAGGAGATGCTCACAGCGCCTGCTGGGGGACTCAGAAGAAGATCCAAGGGAGGTGACGGAGAGGGTCCCAGACTGCAGCAAGTTCTAAGAACGTGGTCATCAACAGTTCCCTCCAGAGTTTACGACATCATCAGGTACCGACTTGTCTGCAACCCCAGCCGCCTGGGTGGACCCTCGCGGCCCGGCTCACCAGGCCGGCGGCCACTTGCAGCAGACGCATGGCCAAAGGTGGCTGCACGATCCTCTCCAGACCCGTGAGGCAGCAAACAGATCAAACGGTGGGTGTTGGGTGCGGGGAGGGGGCAGGTATCGGTAAAAGTTGCCCAAGTGGTACAAATGGAGAACAGTCTCATGGTAAGCCCCCGCCGCCCCCAGCCCAGCCCAGCCCCTCCCCGCGCACTCGGCCGGGCTGAGCCCTCACCTCTGTGCCCCTCGCCCTCTGTCCACGTCACCCACTGCACTGTTTTGCGGAGACACATGCAACCACTTCCCTAACCAACACCCCCAGGGCCCCCAGGGTCCGCTGTCTGTGAGGTGGGTGGGCCAGGGATGCGGGAGTGGAGACGGAGAGCCCCTAGCCCAGCACGCACGGAGCAGGCGCCGCGGCCTCCAGGCTGCTCCTGAGGGGAGCAGGGCACTCACCGGGCTGATGTGTTTCTCAGAAGCAGGGGCGCCACGATGGAGGCTGAGCCCTGGACGGACAGACAGGAGACGTTCAGACCCCTGGTCTCCTCATAACCCCAAAACCATCCTCTGGAAGACAAAACCCACGGCGGCTCTGTCAGTTTATTTTGCCTTCACGAGAAAAACACATCGAGTCTAGACACGCACACACCGTGGCTCACTCTTGATGAAATGCGGCTGCTTTAGGAAAACTTACCGATCACGACTGCGGATCGTGACATTCTCGTGAAATTGTAAAAGAAGCCCACAAGCGCCTCTCAGGCTGATGAACCACTGAGGCCTTCCCCGTGACAGGGGCTGCCGGGAGGCAGAGGGAGCAGGACAGAGGCAGCCCTGTGCACCTTCAGGGCCAGCCTGGCTGTGACCGTCACCCAAGTCACCCGCGCCCTTCCCAAGAGCTCACTTGCCGTGCTTTAGAGCAGCTGCCCTGGCACTGGACACACGGAGGCTGGGAACTGACAGCTTTTCCACAGTAGGCCTGGCAGTGTCAGAGCCTTTAATGGCAATCAACAGTTGGGACTGACAAGACCCCCATTCCTGTGGCAACATCCAAATGCAGGAAAAGACACAGGGAAAAAGGCACGGGGTCTCAGCCGGGTGTTCGCCACGGCCCATTCTCGAGGCCTCAGCACAAAGGGGACCCGCCTGTCAAGGACGAGAACGGTGTGGGCAGCCACAAGCGCTACCACCACGAGGGGCACCAAAGCACTGTCAGGATGCGGGGGGAGGGGAACGCCCAGAACCCGGCATCAGCACCCAGCGTGGGCACTGAGGGCGCTGTGTGTGTGTGTGGTGGGGGCGCTGTGTGTGTGGTGAGGGCGCTGTGTGTGTGTGTGTGG